TTTATTGTTATCAAAGAAGGTTTTCCGTCTGACCTACTACATAAAGAGATTGCATGCTCTTGGGATTACTCGTCATTCACTCTTACAATTTGTCAATTCTTGCATATTACCTATTATTATGCTTTACTGTTCTCCATTATTCTTTCCCGGGCTTTTGAGAAAAGACTTTGCTGTACTGCGAAGAGTGCTGAAGGCAGTTAGCAAGGTGTGTGGTGAATCTTTCGAGGTCATAATTAATATGGTTGTGGATAGACATTTAAAATCATGCAAACTCCTGGCAGGTGTCATTTTACTAGATACTAGTCATCCCCTTCACCCTTATCTTTCTCCTTGTATATCTTCTGGTAGAACGAGACGTAATTACATTAAAATCCATGCACGCAAGGAAAAGTACAAATGTTCTATAATACCTTATCTAGCAAATATAATCTGTGACGAACAGGTTGTTAGAGTTAATCTAGCCAATAACCTGCATTCTTAACATGACTTTAATTTTAAATGTTGTACTGTTTTTCAGATATTTTTTAAACTTTTTTTGTCTTTGTTACTATTTTTGTTTGCATAAGTAACTTGTTGAAATACCCTGTGCTGAGAATTCTATATTGTACCAAAATATAATATTGAATAAAGCCATTAATAATAATAATAATAATCTATGTCAACATTCTTAAGAGGATGGACACCACCTACACCGGGATTACTTTCTTCTGGGTTTTGAACTTTAGGAGATTCAGAAGAGTTTTTCGGTGGCGGCATACTTGTAAAGCTAGACGCCCTCTTAGAATCGGACTTAATTTTACAACCATTAGGATTACGATGCGTTTGGGAGTTTGACGCTGGTGGTCTGTAGCTATCTCTTCCTGCTTTTCGCTGGCATGTTGTTTTATCCGGAAGAGTCTTAATATCCTTGAAAATTTGTTTTGGTCTCAATGAATTGGAGGAAGTTAAAAATTCACCGGCGTCTACAGATGAGGTGAATTTGAACAAGATCGGTGAGTGCATACCAGGATGACTTCTTTTTAATCTTGTGCATACACATGGTACGTGTGTCATATTACTGGCTCTAAGCAGATTAAATTTGATATTTTTAAGGGCATATGTGTCCGGTATATTGAACACAAATGGACTGTTTAATCGTCTTATTCTTTCAAATACCTCTGATGCAACATGATCTAGGAAGTTATTTATGTCATTCATTTGACCTAGAGTCTCTGTGAGGTTGGGGTTGATGAGATATTTAAGCGGATTGAGAAGGTTTATGTCTACTTGCAACTTTCTTATAACATCCATATGGTTGCAGTTGGGATTATCACCACTGTTTACCAGCAGAGTTTTCAACATGTTTGGAATGGAGACAACTGGTAAAAGCTTGTCTGCTTACGGATGAACGGTGTGGCTCGTCTCGTTGAAACTGTTGGAAATCGTGTCAGTAGTGGCGTTAAATTGTGTCGCTTTCCTACGTTTGGCTGGACGCCTAGAAGCAAGGGTCTTAATTTTCTTTTGTGGCATGATAAGAAAGTGACGTATAGCAAGTGGATTGAACAGAATGTTGGAAATAGAAATGGGTGAAAAAATCAATTCCGAAGGCTCAAGTTAGTCTAGAAACCAAAACCTATGTTTTAACCAAGAGTGAGTGTATCGTGAGGATTAGTGATGTCAAAAACAAAAGATGATTCTTTGTTGTGTGGTCCGGTGAAATCCATATGGCTTTCTGTTTGCGTTTATGTGGGAATATGGTGCCACCTATGGCCATTTTATTGTGGGCACATATGTTTGCAAATCTTTCACCATTTTCGTTCCTTTCTCCCAGATCATGTCGTCCCATGATGTTTTCATATCCGGTGTTGTCCATTCCAGCCTTGGCATTTAGGTCTCACATCAGAATGGTCAAGTCATTTGTCAGGCACTTCTCGACGACTGACTACAGCCTATAGTAGAATTGATCCTTAACGTCTTCAACGTAGTCGTTTGTAGGCGCATAACATTGGATGACGTTCATTGTGATGCCCTTTTTCTTTATTTTGAAGGAGGCTTTGATGATCCTTGGTCCATGAGATCCCCATCCTATAAGTGTGTTTTGTGCTTGTTTGGACAGCGTCAATGCAAATCCTTGTGTATGTGGGGCATTTTCTCCTTCATGGCCGAATTATAACAGCAGCTCCACTGAAGCCGGTCTCTGTTGTTCAACTTTCGTACAATGTGTTTCACTGATCCCAAACACCTCCAGGTTGTATCTCCTCATTTCTGCAGCAATTTGAAAGACTCTCCCGGTCTCCCCCATTGTACGAGCGCCCCATGTACCTAAATTAATGGTTGCTCTGGTTGTCAGAACGGGCATCGGTCTCATGGCTTTCGAAGGAATTCGGCTTTCACTGTGAGGTGGCATAACTCTTCTAAATGAAGACATTCTAACTCCCAGGGCAGAGTTTAAATGGCTTGAATTATTTTGTCTGGTTAGCTTTCTACAAAATGTGGTCGCTAACCCCATACCAATGCTCCTCTTTTGTCCGGGCTTGAGACCGGTAATATCCCGATGGGTGTCCAGGCTGAATTTCGAAGTAACCATAGCACCTAGATATAACGAAAATAAACCCACGTTGCGTGATTTCGCCTTTGGTTGGTTGATCACACCACTCCGTCTAAATCAAGTGGGCCCTCCAATCATTAACATAGATCACCTACGTTGGTGATCTTCAATCAAAAATATGTGTGATGAAAAAAACTACCCACAAAATAAGTTTGTGCTAACTACCTCCGCAAGGATTAACCAAGTGACATTACATCCATCGTCGACGACAGTCATTTTGTTTCACACAAAAACATAACAAATGAGAGAAACGATAGTAGGACATAATTGACTCGGAAATAATCGCAAATAACTGAATTCAAACATCTAACTATATTTCACCAAGACTACCGTAGCGAGAAGGCTAGAAACATTTGGTGGAAGTAAGTGTTGAATCTGAAAACCCTACTTAGGGAAAGCGTTAACCGGCTAATCATAGCTTACCAAGACGATGTTGACGCACGCGTTTCAAAAAGGGTGGTGATTTTGTACTTATTGCGATTACTCTTGCTTTTGTGTAATTGTTGCATTAAAAGCATTATGGGTCTACATTTGAAATCTCGCTAAAGTTTGTTTTGCGGTACCCTTTTACCTATTGACTGACACTTGTGTTCGTATTGTGATCATATTGTGCTATAAATCTTAATCTGACTACAATGGTTGGTAGTACTCACAAATGTGGACAACCAAACTTTGTTCCCTGTGAAGGAAGGAATGCAGTGTGATGGATGCAAAAAGTGGTTCCATAAGGTGTGTACCCTTTTAAGTCCCACTGCATACAAAAGATGCTCGAAGCCTAACTCGCATTGGCTTTGCATATTTTGCTGTGTAAACAAAACGTTACTAATACAGGAGGCTATGAACCCATTGGCTTTGGCCTGTAAGAAGAACGATAGCGGTTGCGCTGAAAACACGAGCACTGACATTGAAGAGTGTGTGAGGGTATGTGCTGTTGCAAGACGCCTCAAACTAACGACTGTGGTTGACGGAAAAGCTAAGTCTCCGTTAACATTAACGAGAAGGGAAGTACCACCTGAAATCGACATTGGTAGTCATGCACCTCTAGTGAGAATTGAAGATGCGGATAAAATCGTCACCGTTCCAAATATTTCTAGTGTCCTAAGGGATAAAAAATGGACTAAAGTACGGAGAAGACGAAACGAAAATAAAAAGGCTGTAGGTAGTACGCAGGTAGTTAGCAAACCATCGGTGGACTCCTATTATGAGTCACAAAATGCACTGCCAAAGTCTGATAGTAAGAGAGAAACGCACCCTGGCGTGACTGAGAAGGTGAATTTAATCTCATCGAATATTATTGTGAGCAAATTGCTGGAGTCAAACGACCCTGATCCCAAAACTAGACACGCACATGATTTAGAGAAGCCGGGAGAATATATTCGTGGTATCTTACCAGATAAAAGAGTTCGGGTCGAAAAACTGGTTAGAATAGATAAGAGGACCGAGGACAAAATTGAACCCCGACCATGCAGACTCCTTAAGGTAATCCTGGGACCGGAGAAGCAACATGATCTCCTGTTAAGCAGCGCTCGTAGTCACCACAATTCCGACATCCGAGTTAGACCTGATATGTCTCTTGAAGATAGAGTAAGAAGGAAGAAAGCACTAGCTGAACTAGAAACCCGTCGATAAAGCGGTGAGGAAAATCTCCGGTTAGTGGGTTTTCGAAAAGTCAGGTCTTGGAGGCGAATGCTACCAAATTAATGCCACTCATTGTAGCAGTGACAGAAACTTGCTTAGTCCATGACTTAGACATTACTCCAGAAATATCGGGATACAATTACCTATGGAGTGATAGGCATAGATGTAGAAAAGGTGACCTCCTTTTATATATAGCCAATATTATAAATATCCGCTCCTCTGCTAGCGAATCCCATGATAGCGGTACTTGCAAAGTCATTAGCTGTAAATTGGCTATTGGATTTGGTACATTTATGCTCAGTGTCATCTATCGCAGCCCAATCTACTTAGCTGATGACTTTATTTTAAAGCACATTCAACTATGGAGTGTAAATAACAGATGCTTGATAATAGGAGACTTTAATGCACCTGATATTAGTTGGACTGAGATGGCCACGGAAAGATTGTGAATGCCTGTAAAGCGTTAATAAGTAAGACTAGACGATCATATGAAAAACAATTGTGTAACAGAAAGAGAACAGTGAAAATCCCTCTGCAGCTTCTTTGTTGAACAGTATTTTCATTTATTTGTTCCTTCTTTCTTTTGTGTATTCCAACCTTTGTTTCGATCTCGTTTAACCATGTCTTTTGTTCTTCAGTCTTCCTCGTTTGAGCCTTTATTATGTGATTTTGATTAAAGATTTATTTTGTTACCTAATTTTCTATTGCATGTTGCCGGACCATTGACAGTAAGGCTGTGTTTGACTAAACTCAAGGTCACGGCGTTGTTCATTTTGTGACTGTTAACCTTCTGACTGCCTGCTTGGGAGAATTGCTGCAATCCCGGCAGATAGATATTTGATCCCATCTGATTGGGAATATTTGTATTGATTCTCAGGTATCAAACCCTTTAGTATTAACTGTCTCTTTCATTGTTTAGCGCGCTACTTTGCGTTAGAGAAACTTCTGACTGTATAGCACAGGCTGTACCGTTTGAGGTATTTTGTATTTTTGATGTAATTTGTTCTGTTTTCTTAATTAGAACCGTTTGTATTGAGCACAGAGTTTGTGTTTTGATATAATATAATACGAGTATCTCAAAGACGCGTTGTGAGCTATACAGAGGAACTTGGTCTGGTTTAATCGAATAAGTTTTGGGTTCGTCAGTCCGTTGTTCCAACCGAATATTGGCTGTTCGGTCGTTACAAATTGGTTAGGGATTCTAGATATAGTCCGAAACTTTTATTCATGTATATAAAAAGGCAAACTCAGAGAAGCAATGGAATTCCATCAATTTTGATACAAGAATATCCGTTAATCATGGCAAGAAACGATGCCGAAAAAGCTGAAGCTTTAACGGAATATTTCAGTAAAGTGTTTTCTATCGGTAATGAGGAACGACCAACGATTAATTGTGATCGCGGCGGCTCGCTGATAGACCCTGTGGTCATTGAGCAACGTACTGTTTTAAGGGGCGAGACTCTAATTTAAGGACGAGCCAATCAGAAGCGTTTGAGCAATTTCAAGGTCACGGAGCCAAGTTCAACACCTGATGCTGACATAGGATCGCTTTACAGCGGATTTTAGAGAAGAGGTTATTAATGAGAGGCTACAAGAGATGGGACTATTGAGAAGTTCTTGTACGTGCGAATGCGGTTGTCAAATGACTGGAGCTAAGTGTCCAGAACACCGTGGTGAGATTGTGTTTCGTTGTCCTTCATGTTGGGAAAAAAAGTCTGCTCGAACGGTGACTTTCTTCGCTCGATCGCGTCTGTCACTAAGGCAAATTATGATAATAGTGGCAAACTGGGTAATAAAGACACCAGTAACACTGGCTGCGGCGTTTGGAGATGTTACTGAAACTTCAGCAGTCCAGTGGTATGAGTACAGTCGTGACATCTGTGCAAGTAAAATGACACCCCTACGCCTATCATTCGGAGGAGTAGGATGTATTGTGCAGATAGATGAAACAGTAGTGAGAAAGCGAAAATACAACAGGGGACGTAGTATCGAGGAAGAATGGGTAAGTAGCATTTCCGTAAATATACTTGACAGGTACTTGGAATTTATGACCGATCAACACAAAAGGGACATTTTCAGAAAGTCAGAAACCGGCAAGCGAACACAATCATACCAATTATACAGGAATACGTACAACTGGGCACAACAATATATACGGATGATTGGCGAGGCTATAGGTGCCTACATAGACTTGGATATGTGCATCATGTTGTAGTGCACAAGCGCCATTTCGTCGATCCTACAACCGGCGTACATACTAATAATATTGGAGCTATGTGGTCGAGACTGAAAGAATTTTTAAGACCATACCACGGCTCAAGAGGACGACTGTTATGGAGCCACATGGACGAGTTTTTATACCGCATGCATTATGATTTCAGGACTTCTGAACCGTTATCGAACCTCCACAAGTTTTTAAATAATGTAAAAGAAGACTATTCACTGTAATTCATTACTTTCTTATAATATATTTTCACTCTATACTGTCTTCTGATTGGCTAATAATTGTCAAGGTCATTTAAGATTCGTTCAAAGGTCGTCCTTAAATTAGAGTCTCGCCTTTTAAGGCTACTTCATCTCTAACCTGATAAGTCCAGTGGTTCTGATGATATTCATCCTAGGATTATGAAAGCCATATCAGATGTAATTGCTGAACAATTAGCGAAACTGTTTGACATGTCTTGAAGGCAGTCCAGACTACCCAGAGACTAGAAAAACGCTATAATAAGTCCGGTGTATAAGGCTGGGAGTAGGGATTTAGTTAGTAACTATAGGCCCGTTAGCTTAATTAGTGCAGTTGTAAAACTGATGGAAAAAATCATTCGGATATCTGTTATAAACTATGTTGAGTGGCATAATCTTTTCTCCAGGGAACGACATGGTTTTCGGAGAGGCCTATTATGCTTGACAAATCTCACTGCAAGAGAAGATTGGGCTGCTGCAAAAGATCAGAATATTCCTGTGGATGTGATCTTCGTAAAGTCTCCCACTCTGTTCTTAAATTCAAACTGGAACGTTTTGGAATCCATTATACAGTCGTAGACTGGATAAGTAACTTGCTCCATGACAGGAGACAAAGGGTAAGGGTAAAAAGAGGAGTTCCCTCGGTCCGCTTCTCTTTTTACTTTATGTAAATGAATTACCAACTATAGAGAAATCCTCCGTTCTACTCTTCGCTGATGACATAAAGATTTGGAGACCCATACACAGTATGTCGGATAGAATACTATAACAGAATGATCTTAGCTCATTGATGGCATGGTTGTACAGGTGGTCACTAGAAGTTAATCATAATAAGAGTGTGGTGATGCAATTAAATAACTATGATGAATCGTATCACTATACAATATGTGGATTAGTGCTACCCAAAGTAAGGAACTAGTGTGGTGGACCAGACAAATATGAACGCTAAAACGTGTTAATCAAATTATAAAGAGGAAATAATAATGTTAATAGTTATTAATACAACATAAGAATATGGACTTTACTTAAATTCACCAAATGTTGCGTGTTCTGATTGGGTCTGGTATTGTAAATCCACAATTATAATGTCCGATATTTCCGTACAGGTTATTGAACTCTCCAATAATGAAATCCACTGTTATGTGTGATGTGTCTCAGCTCACAGTCTATAAACGTGAATAATGTTCAATCTAGGATGCAATTAGCTCAATAACGAGTGACCTTGCCGGTCGTTCCTTTCTTTTTGAGACAAGTAATTCTAAGCCTTTTGCTGAATTCAACACGTCGTGTCATGTCATTCGCACACTATAACTTTCAGTAGCCTGGTGGTTAGATTAGCCTCACTGGAAGTTGCTAAATATTTAAAACATTGTGCGTAGTAACGCGCGCTTTTCGAGCAAGAAGTTTAGTCCTAACGTGATTTGCATTTATCAAACTTTTGCTGTGTTCTTACGCAACAAAAGTACCATTTCAGTTCTAAAGAATCTATCCTGAGCTATACGTTCGGTAGATTACTTTTTTTGAGTTTCATCATATTTAATAGTTACCTGTGGTTTTGCCTCAGTTTACTATTCGGTTTTTTGTTTTTCACGTACAGACTGGTTTCAGTTTATATCACTCGTTTTATCCAATTTTGTCCATTTTCAGTGTGCTTCTTAGTGTTTTTAAAGGTCTTAAGCTTTTGCAAGCATCTATAACATAGTTTGCTTCAACGTAGTCATGAAAAACTCATGCAAACGTCCGGGATGCCGTTTTGCTGTTACATCTGGCATGCAGTGCGACAACTGCAAAGGTTAGTTCCACGAAGCATGCACAGATCTGACAGTAACCGCTTACAACAGACTCAGCAAGTCAGACCAAAAGTGGGTATGTGTCACGTGCAGCACGGACGCTGTAGTCTTGCTGAGTAACATCATTGTCCTACTGATAGGTCTTCGGAACAAGCTGTCAGTTAACTTGAATAACGATAGTGGAAAAACCGGTAGACAAACAAGAGCGTGCGACGTATACAAAAATAGGGATATCGACAGGTATACCATCGATGGAGCATCCATCAACACTAATGATGACGTGTCGAGGCTCAGCACCATCATTACGTCGACGGTATTAGACTCCCTAAGCGAACTCAGGTCTCCCAGCTCAGGGTCCCTGAACACAACCGTGGTTCCCAAAAACCCTGCAGGTGATTCGACCCACGTTAAGCGGGCCCAAAAAAAGCAGGCATCACCGCCTAAGCCGAGCAACCCAAGTGTTGCTGCACGGAAAATAACTGGTGATTTGGTCGCACAGTCTACCCCCAAGACTGTTCGTCCGGTCAATAAAGAGCCCAAGACTAAAAATGCACACTGACCTCCAAACAACAAGTTATTAAACCTGAACCCATCGTGAAACCTGGTAAATTAACAACAGTTCGTGACGATTCCCTCATTATCATGAACCTCGTTGACAATCCTGACCTTCCTCTCAGTCTGCAGGACAAAAACGACAGGATGCTCTGGGGTGAATTGAACAAGAAGCTCGAACTTCCTAGAATAGAGCCTTTGATGGTCACCCGGCTCACTCGAGGAAAGGATTCTAAGCATCTAAATCACCCGAGGCTTCTCCAAGTAACACTTGAGAATGCTACCGACGTAGAGGACGTCTTGCTAGCAATTCACTTGCTGAAATCCTGTGGTAACGTAAGAATATTGTCCGACATACCGTACTCTGAGCGCAATATCATACGGAACATCCCTAAAGAATCTCGCGAGTTTTTCCGCGGAAGAAACATAATTGTGCAAGGTATACCGGAAAATGCAGACCCTACTCAATCAAATTCTGACATCAGGGAATGGAAATTCATCAAACAGTCCTTGAGGCTCAAACACATACTGACTCAGCATGTGACGAGACTAGCCAAGAAGGACGGTGATCTTAGACCCCGTCTAATGAAGATAACCTTCCCATCTTACCACATGGCGGCTGCAGTTCTGGAAGCATTTCGTGCCAACAGACGTCGATTGCCACCTGGAATCCACATGCACCCGGATAGGCCATATGAAACTAGGACCAAGCACAAAGGCAAGTTGGAGCTGACCATTCCACTTGTGGACTGTCTAAATGATAAAAAAACATGTAAAGGACAGGGCCTACCACCTCGACAAACCTCATATAGGTGGGCTACCTGTCCATTCACATAAGGCTCATACAGAAAAACAGGACGAAGCTCACGCGTCCCAAATTGAAAGCATAAACTGCTTATATATGAACGCCGCGAGTCTACCAAACAAACTGGATGAATTACGTGAGCTTAGCAACGCTAATAAGGCCCATCTGATAGGAATATCTGAAACCTGGATATCTTCTCAGTTCTCGGACCAAGAGTTAGCATTACCTGGGATGACTGTGTTCCACAACGACAGAAAAACAGGAATTGAGGGCGGAGTAGCCATATACGTAAGCTCTTGTTTGGAGGTGCACCAAGTTCACAACCTCGAGTTTAACAATCTTGAGGAATCCATACGGTGCTCTGTAAGATTGTCTAGTACTTCGTGGTATCTAGTCGGAGTCATGTACAGGAAGCCAACTGCCGACATCGAGTACGATAGTCGTATGCTGGAAGGACTATCCCGCTCTACTCGTCTCGGTTCCACACACATCCTGATTCTAGGGGACTTTAATCTCCCTAGAGTCAATTTCGCAAACACACACGTACACTAGAGGCGACAACTCAATTGAAGCTCGGTTCTTCAACCTCATCGATGACTTGGGCTTATATGAAAATGTGAGGTCGGCAACTCGTTGGAGAAACAGTCAGACACCATCGCGCTTAGACTGTGTATTCACAAACGAAGAATTCCTAGTTGACAACCTCTCAATCCTGGCTCCTCTGGGAAAGAGCGATCATGCCGTCATAGCCTTCAGTTTTGTCACCAAAACTAAGCTAAGGTATCCCAATAATAATTTGCGTTGGAATTTTAAACGGCTGAATGTGCCAGCTCTACATGACTATCTACAACAGGTGGTTTGGGATGTTCACCCTCAACTCGATGTGGACGGTCATTGGGACTTCTTACTGCACACGCTCTTATGTGCTACAAACCATTCAGTTCCTCAAACGGCTCCCAAAAGCTGCAAGCCACCTACAGTAATCAAGAACCGTACCCTTCGCCTCCTAAGCCGCAAACGGCACTGTTGGGCGGAATACAAACGAACTGATAACGACGGGGCGTATAGGCAATATAAACATATAAGGAACACATGCACGAAGGCTATAAGAGAAGACAGGCTTCAGTACCAGACAAAGCTTATGGACAAATTCGCCTCTAACCCTAGAAGCCTATTCCGTTATACAGCCTCTCTTCGTCAACCTAAAACAGGAGTTTCTCAACTGCTAGGTCTTAACGGCCCGACCAACAACGATGGCGACGCCGCTAACCTTGTGGCGGCACATTACTCTCAAACATTTCAACCGGCTGACATCAACTTTACTGACGACAGTTTCCTCTGCAAATCCACAGGACTTTCCGAAGTGGACCTAAGTGCTGACTTGGTGTTCCGGAAATTGCATCACTTAAGACTCGATACTTCTCCTGGCCCGGATATGGTTCATCCTACCATACAGATGGACAAGCATCCTCGATCGCAAGGGGAAGGTTGATATCATTTACCTTGATTTCTCAAAAGCTTTTGATAAGGTTAACCATTTGTGTCCTATCAATAAGCTCAAACGGCCAGGTATCAAACCACCTCTAATCGATTGGCTTACTTCATACCTAAAAAATCGACACTTTAAGGTTAGGGTTAATTTCACTTTATCTCAGGCTATAGAATGTCCTAGTGGGGTTCCCCAGGGCTCAGTACTAGGGCCTCTTCTCTTCTTGATCTACATAAATGATCTTCCTCAACAGGTAACGTCAGATTTATTACTTTTTGCCGACGACGTGAAACTTTGGAGAGAGATACGCAACCAAGACGATATACAGGCACTTCAGGAGGATCTGACCCAACTTCAAAGTTGGGCAGACGATAACGGACTTATTTTTAACACTTCAAAGTGTAAAGTAGTCCATCTGCGACATGTCGCAAACTGCAGTTATAACTTAGGAAACTCCTCTCTAGTAGTATCCCAAGTCGAAAAAGATTTAGAAGTCCTGGTGCCCCATGATTTAAAGTCTTACGCTAACTGTGACAAAAATGCCTTCCGAGCGAACCTTGCACTGGTAACGTTGAAGCGCATTTTTGGCCAGTTTGACGGACGAACTTTCCATACAATCTTCAATAGTCTCATCCGTCCCCATTTAGAGTACGGAAACATAGTACTCCCCCCTCACTCCAAAAGGACAAGGTCACTTGGGAGCGTATCTAACGGTGAGCCACGAAATCAGTTCGAGGACTCAAATCTAAACCTTACGAAGAACGCCTCCATTCACTAGACCTATACCCATTAGAGTATAGGCGTCTTAGAGGTGATTTATTAATGGCTTATAGTATCCTTAACACTTCTGGACATCCTCTTAAACACCTACTTAAGCTTAGTTCGAATAATAACCTAAGGGGTAACACCCAGAAACTGGACACACAACATAGCAAGACGGAATGTAGACACAACTTCTACTCCTTAAGAGTTGTCAAAAGCTGGAATTCGCTGCCGGCCGAGCTAGTCCAAGCGACTTCTCAGGAGTCCTTCAAGAGGCAACTTGACCTATTCTTAAGGACCAAGGTCAGCATCACACTATGATTTACCAATTTCTTTTTCTCTTTTATTGTTAACATACCTAGGTTCCTGCCTGAAGGATTTGGTGATCCCCTGCTACTAGACACGGAAGCCTGTTAAGCGAAAGCTTCTATTCCGTCCACAACCATTTGAAAATGAGTACAAATTGTAGGCAAGGGAAAGTCGAGGTTAGTGGTAAGTATTAATGTATGCCAAACATTTTTCTATGAATCATTTTGAAAAAAACATCCAGATCACTCGCTATTATCTGAATTTAATCAAGATGTTTGTCTTCAGCTTATTAATGGTCAGAAGGTCGGAAAGGGTATGTTTACATTCTGCTCATTAAATTTAAATATTTTCCAAATTCTAAAGATTCTGAAGCCCAAAGTCATAGTATTTTGAGTAATTATTTCACTGAAGAAATAAATTCGGACGATCCATTCGGTTCTGTTTGTGACTCAAGTCCTAATGAATTGGTAAGAGAGGTCAGTTTCTTAATTCATTTTACACTTCGTTAAAAAGTTATTACAATGGGGTTTTCAATTTTTGATTTTGGCATTTGCGGACAGACTTGTATAATGAACAATAGTTCATGACTGTTGTATAATAACTAGTAACTTCACCTGGTTACTGGTATTCGGTTACATGGGAAAAATTCTGAAGCTGGTAATCAGTAATTAAAAAACGGGAACATGTTCTTTCTTCCAAGTGTAGGTCATGAGGTAACAGCAGCTTTATCGACCACTATGTTTTTTTTGTAGAAACTCAATAAAAATCTGAGGTAAATTTATCGACATTCAGAACCAGCTCTTGAGGATTTTTTTACTTTCTCTTGATTTTTGGGTTCTTGTAATAGGGTTTTCAATAATTTGGGTGGAAACGTATTAAAAATCTGGCTACATCGGCTGTTTTTGGGTCTTCAGCTTTTGCCAATACTTTCTAAAAATTGTCGTGATCATCACCTGTTTTAGGGAAGCACATATCCACCAAAGTTACTAAACAACTACCAACGTGGCAACTGTGTCAGTTTGGATCAAGGGCTCTGGAAGTGTTTCCTAAAGAAAGCCACCTGCTTCGGTTTGGACACTCGGGCAGTATCCCAGCCCTCACACATCGAATGGTTTATGTGGCGCATATCTGTTTGATGCCCTTTTGTACTAATGTTTGTGTGTTTGAATAAATAAATAAAAATAACAGCGCTAATCATAAAAACTAAACACTAAATATATGGTTTGAATAAACTCGATACAAGAGTACTTAAAATCGAGATCTAGAGTAAGATAAAGAATGAATGCATTTGATAATATCATGAAACATAAACAACTAGTTTCAGATGTCTCGCGCACCCCAAACAGGTAATCTGAGTCTACGAACATGGGTTAAATCGGTAAGTCAGTCACATACAACATAGAACCCGATACATATGTGCATCGGTCGAAGTCGCCACACAACATTAGCACAGCGTGTTAGAGTGATCAAGACATCTTACTGTAGTAGAAAAAGTCACAGTATAAATAATATTAGTGGTAGTCGTATTAGTAGCAATAGAAAAGATTAAGTATCCTAACAAAGAAAAACATCTAAGGAAGTCTCAGGTCCTAGGGCCTGAGAGAGGACAGAATGAATGCATCTGAGTCACTACAAACTATTTGAAGCCACATCACCCAAAGTATCTAAGTATTGGTTACTACTACTACTACTACTACTACTACTACTACTACTACTACTACTACTACTACTACTACTACTACTACTACTACTACTACTACTACTACTACTACTACTACTACTACTACTACTACTACTACTACTACTACTACTACTACTACTACTACTACTACTACTACTACTACTACTACTACTACTACTACTACTACTACTACTACTACTACTACTACTACTACTACTACTACTACTACTACTACTACTACTACTACTACTACTACTACTACTACTACTACTACTACTACTACTACTACTACTACTACTACTACTACTACTACTACTACTACTACTACTACTACTACTACTACTACTACTACTACTACTACTACTACTACTACTACTACTACTACTACTACTACTACTACTACTACTACTACTACTACTACTACTACTACTACTACTACTACTACTACTACTACTACTACTACTACTACTACTACTACTACTACTACTACTACTACTACTACTACTACTACTACTACTACTACTACTACTACTACTACTACTACTACTACTACTACTACTACTACTACTACTACTACTACTACTACTACTACTACTACTACTACTACTACTACTACTACTACTACTACTACTACTACTACTACTACTACTACTACTACTACTACTACTACTACTACTACTACTACTACTACTACTACTACTACTACTACTACTACTACTACTACTACTACTACTACTACTACTACTACTACTACTACTACTACTACTACTACTAGTACTACTACTACTACTACTACTACTACTACTACTACTACTACTACTACTACTACTACTACTACTACTACTACTACTACTACTACTACTACTACTACTACTACTACTACTACTACTACTACTACTACTACTACTACTACTACTACTACTACTACTACTACTACTACTACTACTACTACTACTACTACTACTACTACTACTACTACTACTACTACTACTACTACTACTACTACTACTACTACTACTACTACTACTACTACTACTACTACTACTACTACTACTACTACTACTACTACTACTACTACTACTACTACTACTACTACTACTACTACTACTACTACTACTACTACTACTACTACTACTACTACTACTACTACTACTACTACTACTACTACTACTACTACTACTACTACTACTACTACTACTACTACTACTACTACTACTACTACTACTACTACTACTACTACTACTACTACTACTACTACTACTACTACTACTACTACTACTACTACTACTACTACTACTACTACTACTACTACTACTACTACTACTACTACTACTACTACTACTACTACTACTACTACTACTACTACTACTACTACTACTACTACTACTACTACTACTACTACTACTACTACTACTACTACTACTACTACTACTACTACTACTACTACTACTACTACTACTACTACTACTACTACTACTACTACTACTACTACTACTACTACTACTACTACTACTACTACTACTACTACTACTACTACTACTACTACTACTACTACTACTACTACTACTACTACTACTACTACTACTACTACTACTACTACTACTACTACTACTACTACTACTACTACTACTACTACTACTACTACTACTACTACTACTACTACTACTACTACTACTACTACTACTACTACTACTACTACTACTACTACTACTACTACTACTACTACTACTACTACTACTACTACTACTACTACTACTACTACTACTACTACTACTACTACTACTACTACTACTACTACTACTACTACTACTACTACTACTACTACTACTACTACTACTACTACTACTACTACTACTACTACTACTACTACTACTACTACTACTACTACTACTACTACTACTACTACTACTACTACTACTACTACTACTACTACTACTACTACTACTACTACTACTACTACTACTACTACTACTACTACTACTACTACTACTACTACTACTACTACTACTACTACTACTACTACTACTACTACTACTACTACTACTACTACTACTACTACTACTACTACTACTACTACTACTACTACTACTACTACTACTACTACTACTACTACTACTACTACTACTACTACTACTACTACTACTACTACTACTACTACTACTACTACTACTACTACTACTACTACTACTACTACTACTACTACTACTACTACTACTACTACTACTACTACTACTACTACTACTACTACTACTACTACTACTACTACTACTACTACTACTACTACTACTACTACTACTACTACTACTACTACTACTACTACTACTACTACTACTACTACTACTACTACTACTACTACTACTACTACTACTACTACTACTACTACTACTACGACTACTACTACTACTACTACTACTACTACTACTACTACTACTACTACTACTACTACTACTACTACTACTACTACTACTACTACTACTACTACTACTACTACTACTACTACTACTACTACTACTACTACTACTACTACTACTACTACTACTACTACTACTACTACTACTACTACTACTACTACTACTACTACTACTACTACTACTACTACTACTACTACTACTACTACTACTACTACTACTACTACTACTACTACTACTACTACTACTACTACTACTACTACTACTACTACTACTACTACGACTACTACGACTACTACGACTACTACTACTACTACTACGACTACTACGACTACTACGACTACTACGACTACTACGACTACTACGACTACTACGACTACTACGACTACGACTACTACGACTACTACGACTACTACGACTACTACGACTACTACGACTACTACGACTACTACGACTACTACGACTACTACGACTACTACGACTACTACGACTACTACGACTACTACGACTACTACGACTACTACGACTACTACGACTACTACGACTACTACGACTACTACGACTACTACGACTACTACGACTACTACGACTACTACGACTACTACGACTACTACGACTACTACGACTACTACGACTACTACGACTACTACGACTACTACGACTACTACGACTACTACGACTACTACGACTACTACGACTACTACGACTACTACGACTACTACGACTACTACGACTACTACGACTACTACGACTACTACGACTACTACGACTACTACGACTACTACGACTACTACGACTACTACGACTACTACGACTACTACGACTACTACGACTACTACGACTACTACGACTACTACGACTACTACGACTACTACGACTACTACGACTACTACGACTACTACGACTACTACGACTACTACGACTACTACGACTACTACGACTACTACGACTACTACGACTACTACGACTACTACGACTACTACGACTACTACGACTACTACGACTACTACGACTACTACGACTACTACGACTACTACGACTACTACGACTACTACGACTACTACGACTACTACGACTACTACGACTACTACGACTACTACGACTACTACGACTACTACGACTACTACGACTACTACGACTACTACGACTACTACGACTACTACGACTACTACGACTACTACGACTACTACGACTACTACGACTACTACGACTACTACGACTACTACGACTACTACGACTACTACGACTACTACGACTACTACGACTACTACGACTACTACGACTACTACGACTACTACGACTACTACGACTACTACGACTACTACGACTACTACGACTACTACGACTACTACGACTACTACGACTACTACGACTACTACGACTACTA